AAGATCCTTAACGAAGGTATCTTGACTTTGATGGGTAGTACTGCATCTATCCCGTAGACCAAGGAAAAGGGGATTGCCCCTGTTGAAGTACGTATTGAGGTTCTGTATCCATGTAAGGCAAATGGTAACATTTTGTGCCAGTCCTTATAAGTTACCACCATCTTTTGTACTATCTTCTTGATATTTTTGTTCACAACTTCAACAGAACCGTTCATTTTCGGTCTATATGGAGAAGAGTTATGATGTTTGATTTTGAAACTATCACAAAGTTCTTTCATCGTTTTGTTGTTCAGATTCGACCCATTATTAGTGATGATTTGGTCAGGGATGTCGTATCGGCAGATAATCTCTTTCTTGATAAAACGGGCGACCACTTATTTGGTTACATTTGCGTAGGATGCTGCTTCTACCCACTTGGTGAAGTAGTCGATAGCAATGAGGATAAAACGGTGGCCGTTGGGTGCTTTGGGCTTAATTGCCCCGTCATATCTATGCCCCACATTATGAATGGCCAAGGCGATGTTAACACATTAAGAGGATGTGGAGGAACATGCACCTTGTCGGCGTATATTTGGAATTTGTGGCATTTCCGAGTGAAAAGGATGCAATTTGTCTCCAGGTTCAACCAGTAATAACCAGCCCTCCAGATTTTATTTTCCATGGCATGGACGCTCACATGAGTGCCGAAGGTTCCTTCGTGCACATCTGTCATCAATAAATCTGCCTTACTCTTGTCAACGCATCGAAGCAGAACCATATCATGATCTCTTTTGTACAGAACATCGTTGCTGATGAAGAACTTAGATGACAATCTTCGTATAGACCTCTCGTTGATTTTAGAGGCGGCATATGGATATTTTTGATTCTAAAGAAAAATTTTGATGTCATGAAACCAAGGTTTTTCATCATATTCTTCTTCTGTCATCATGATGTATGTTGGTGCAGTCTTTCTTTCAATGCAAATCAAAGGCGCCTCGTTGACAAACTGGATTTTCCACATTGATGCTAGCATGGCTAAAGCATCTGCAATATGGTTCTCATCCCTTGGGACATGTTTGAAGGTGATTTCGTCAAAGTACTCAATCATCTCCAAAATGTAATCCTTGTAGGGAATCAACTTCTCGTCTTGAGTTTCCCATTCTCATTTGAGTTAATAGATTACCAAGGCAGAATCGCCTATCGCCTCTAAAATCTTAATGTGAAGATTGATAGCAGCTTCAAGTCCCAGGATACTGGCCTCATATTCAGCTATGTTGTTGGTACAGGAAAAGAAAAGTCTGGCGGTAATAGCGGTATATCCTCCAGTTGGATTTTCCAAAACAACCCCAACACCGTGTCCTTTTTTGTTGAATGCTCCATCAAACATCATCTTCCAGTGAGATCCAGGTTCTGTACCTTCCACAGGTTCGGGTTCCAGTTTCAAGCTTTGAATATGCATTACATCTTCATCAGGGAATTCAAATTTGAGCGGTTGGTAATCGTCTACAGGATGTTAGCAAGGTTGTCGCTACTCGAAAAAATGCATCGCGCAACGACGGGGAGGCGAAAAAGATAGACAGAAGAGTCGCCACCGAACTTTATTTATCCCATGAGGGGAAAGGAAAATATCGAGAAAACCTTAAGAAAGAAATGGATAAGATGGTCTCGCAACCATGAACGGGTTCGGAAGCCGGTTATGCAAGGGGAAGGTATTAGCACCCCTCGCATCCATCGTACTCGATGGGAACCTTTTGTTTGTCGATGTGTGAATTATATTTGCTAAAATATTATGCTATAAAAAGTGTGTTTCAAAAGGGTTAAGGGAAAGGTTTAGAAACGGGAAACAAGGGGTGACGAGGGAAAGAAAGGACTCGATAGGACTTCGCGGTCCTAGGCCTACGTATTCTCAACGGATATGAGAAAGTCAGAGTCGACGTAGTTCGGGAAACTACAGATATGGGGGGAATGTGCTCGCCAAGACATCGCCGTCTTGTGCCTACGTATTCTCATCTGGTATGAGAAATCAGAGCAGCCGTAGTTCGGCCTACGGTGTGTTGATACTTTTTATGGATGATGCTATCGTGTGCATTCTAGCAGTTTAGGTGTTTTGCTGCTCGCTCGTTGGAGACTTAGGAATTACCTGTTTGCGGTAGAACGGACGTAACATATCCTTTTGAAAGATTGATTAGTTTTCGCCGCGCGGGGCAAGAAGTCACGTTTGATTGATTGGATTGTTTTTAGGGGGAGAGACATGTCCTCGGATAGTAACCCCTACGGGTAGTACCCAATTCTTTGTCTCAAAGTTTTTGTTATAAAAGGTGTGGCGAACGAGGCGTCTTCGTATTGAAAGACGAGCGTCGAAACCACCCTCACTACAGTGGGCGTCCCTACGCTCGGAGAAGAAGAGGTCTACACCCAATCCTCTCTCTTTAATTCAATGCAAAGAGAACTTCATTCTCTTATTAAAGATGTTTTTGGTTTTGAATGGTAAGTGCTTTGCGACAGAGAACCCTACGGTAAATGTCAGCACTCGGGATAGGAGAAGGCCTACGCCTAACCACTCCACGACCATTCAAGTTTTTGTTATAAAATGGTTTGAAAATACACTCGGTGCAGGACCGAGGTTTTAGGTGTCAAGGGTTGCGGGATGAAGTTGTGGAAAGGGATAGGTGGAAGGAGTCGCGTCTTCGTATTGAAAGACGAATATTAAGATCACCCTCACTACAGCGGGCATCCCAACATTCGGAGAGGAAGAGGTCTACACCTAATCCTCTCTTTTTAATTCAATACAAAGAGAAATTAGTTTATTATGAAAGTGGACTCAGTACGAGACCGAGGTTTTATGAGGAAATGTTGGAAGCGTCTTTGTATTGACAGACGAGCATCGAGACCACCCTCACTACAGTGGGCATCCCTACGCTCGAAGAAGAAGGGGTCTACACCCAATCCTCTCGTTGAATTCAATACAAAGAATTGATTTTAGGGAGATGAGATTTGAAAATGGATGGGAGACGTCTTCGTATTGAAAGACGAGTGTCAGAACCACCCTCACTACAGTGGGCATCCCAACACTCGGAGAGGAAGAAAGTCTACACTTAATCCCCTCGTTTAGTTCAATGCAAAGATGATTTGATTTTGAAAATTGTTTGACAAAGTTTTTGAATCGAGTCGAGACAGGTAATGAAGAGAGAAAAGAGGTGGTCTCAGATCCAACGATACTTATCAATATATTGATTTAGTAATCGATTTATGGAACTTTCGTCATCGACCCAAACAGGAGAAAATGGGGCAAATGCCCAATAGCAAACGAGAAATAAAATAACTCTGAAATAGAAAATAAAAGAGTTCTATAAGAAGATAAAAACTCTAAAGAAAATAAAATTATGAATATATATAATCTAAAAAAACTACTAGATAATAAAATAAAATAAAGCCATATTGTTTAGGAAGTTTAAGAAAACTAATTTAGAAAAATAGAAATATATTTATAAATTAAAGTCTAATATTAACAACATTTGAAAATAATATTATAAAAAAGATTTTTAAGAAGAAAACAACACAGGGAAACTAAAAAGAAGGAACTGGACCAGGGGTGTTTGGAGATGAATATAACAAGCTCATCAGATTGGGGCGCCCCAACCAAGATGGCGGGTTGGATCTACAGCCCGGTTCAATTGAAATCCCTTCGTTGAGTGAAACTCTATTACCCCCATAACCATTCACAAATACTTAAAATACAAATTGAAATTGAAAGACATAACCTTATACTCCAGCAAACCGATTCTGAACGAGGAAGAGAATGGCAAGATACCCTGAAATCATCATCATCTTCACTCGATTGTCATTCTCTCGAATTATTTCTCTTTACTCGCGCGACTTTGTTGCGACTTTGTTACCTACGTCTTCGGTCTCGGTCCATCGTGGCGTGAAGAGTTCATGGTGGTTTCGAAAACGATGCAGCTGTTGATGAGTGGTTATGGCGTGAGATAAACGCTATGAATATTAACGGAGGGAGTACGCGTTGTCGATTTCGGATTGTTCCTGTGGAGTGAGAAGGTTGGAAAAAGGAGGAGGTCGATGAAAATCTATGGGTTGTGTTTTATGAAAGCGATGATGGAGTGATTTGGAGCTGAAGTTTGATCGTCGTTGTTGTCAATTGGAAAGCGCATACCAACTGTTTGTGAAAAGGCTAGCTTCAGATAGGGAGAGATGAAGGCGTATGTGTTGGATTGCTACCAATGGAAAATGAAATATGAGGGTTAGCTGGACTGTGGAGTTGTGCTTTCATTGTTGTTTGAATTCTGTTCTGATGCTGGAAGGTTGTTGCAGAGTTTGAAAGAAAACGGAAGTTGAGTTTAAAGTGGAGGTGTGCTTATGTTTGGAGCTTGGTAGTGTTGAGGATTTTCGGTGGAGATTGGGTTTGAAGAAGAAGGGTCGAAGGGATAAAGGTGGCTTGTTGGGAGTTTATGAAGAGGCTGGTTTTGAAGATTAAATTTGGAGGAGATTTTGTGGTTGAAGGTTTTGAGAGCTGTCGTTCTTTCAAGATGACGGCTAGGGGTTTTTAGGCTCAATCTCAGATTAGGGTTTTTTGAAGGTGGGCAGCTGTTGGAGGCTGAAGCTGCTAGGGTTGGCCCTCCTCTTGCTGTCACTTCTCATGAGGTTTTTATATGGAGAGGGTATGCAGAGGCTTGAGGTGAGGTAGTACAAGCTCTTTTGTCTGTAGTGAGGTAATGTCTTTTTACCACAACACCAAATAATCTCTGATTTTACTGTTAGTAACTTGATTTTTTTTACTGTCTGATTTTTATTTATTACCAGAGCTGCTACTGGATGCACTTTCCGATTTATCAATGGTAGTTCTGCTCATTTCTTCAGCATTGGTTGATACATCAATTTTCTGCTCATTCAACTTTGCCGAGCCAACTTCATCTGCTCCTGTTTTGATTGAAGCATCTTCTGCATCCAATTTTTCTGGAAGCTCTTCTTGATTATCTTTGAAGATTGCTAGAGTGTAAAGCCTTCTACATTGTTCTTCTACAGGTTCGTTGAATGAACTCTGGGAGAGGTGTTTGACCATTTAAAAGTGCACCAAAGAATGATTCCATGCTTTCTTTCAAAGGAATTCCAGCAGAAAATGTGCTCTTTATATAGAACGGAACCCAGGATGCACGTTTCTCGTACATTTCTTTTAGCCAAGAATTGTCCTTCAATCCATATTTTACGAGTAGAGCATTCCACGCGGTGTCAAATTCATCAACTGTCTGGCTCTGGTAAACACACTTTTCATAATCTTTTGTGAATCCATGACCCATCAGACCTGCAAGCTCTTGTTCCTTTGCATTAATTTGCCACAATGAAAAGCGGTGATGAGTTACTGGAAATACTTTTGCTACTGCTCTCTGGATTGAAACGTCTTGATCAGCTATTACTGACAGAGGCTGCCGACCACACATTGCTCTTAGCCATGTCTGTAACAGCCAAGTGAACGACTCTTCAGATTCATCAGCAATTAGAGCACATCCAAGAAGGACAGGTTGTTTGTGGTGATTAACCCCCACAAAAGTAGCAAATGGTACCGTAGAGAGGCTCTTTCTATACGACGTGTCTACAACGAGGACATCGCCAAATTGACTACATGAATATCTAGATCTGCCATCAGCCCAGAATATGCTCATGCAATTACCATTATCAACTTCCATGGCATAAAAGAAACCTGTATCTTCAGCTTGTCTTGACTGAAAATACTCTAAAAGCATGTTATACCAATCACTTCTGATGTGGTTTTGTCTACCTCCTCTCAGGACAGGGTAGTTATCTATCCTAAACATGTCGCTGTTCACCATTTCAGTGTTTACCACCTCAGTTAAAATATTAGAAGCAGGAAGACTTGCTGTCCTAGTTTCCTTTTCAGGGACCAGGTCATGATTATGATCTTTTTCAAGACGGTCGACTACCCATTTTCCTGATGGCTGTCTCTTAATCCTTAAATAGGCCTTACAACCAACTCTTGAAGGGTGCTGGAACCCTTCTTTTGAACACACAAAGCGTCGTGATGTAATACCCCCGTCATTTTTAGAACGAAACAATTGACCATTTCGAATTCTAAAACCCTTATATGCTGCATGGGTGTGATAAAATTGGTAGGCTTCAACAGGGCTACTGAACTCTTGACCAACATGTGGTTCAATCCTGGCCTGTCCTTCAAGTTCTTCTTTTCTCAGACGCTTGAAATTAATAACACCAAAAGGAGAAATAGGTTCACCATTGCCTACTTCAAGCAATTTCTTCCTTGGCCTGCGAGTGATTCCGGTTGAAGAATCAACCGTGGCAGAAGCTATCGGCTGCAACGTTGGAGCGAAAATTTTACTTTCATTTTCAAGATTATGATTATGCTCCTTGTGAAAATGGTCAACAACCCACTTCCCAGAATCATTTAACTGCACCCTTATGAATGCTGGACAGCCAGTTCTTGAGCTGAGCTGATGTCCCTCCTTCGAACACACAAATCTTCGAGAAGAAACCGATCCATTAGTCCTGGACCGATAAAGCTGACCAATACGAACTTTAAATCCCATTCGAGTAGCATATGATATATAATACCTAAGTGCATCATCCGCATTGAAAAACTCCAACCCTACGTGTGGATCACAAGAAAAATCAATTTCCTCCTCCCCAATGACATTACTCATCACCAGTTCAGTACCAACAGCATGCTCCTTTACAATCATGATCCCAAATTCTACTACCCAACCGTTTTCAAAGCAAACAAAAGCACATTCCACACGCTAAGAAGATTACACTTATTTCTTCAACATCTGGAATTGGAACATTGATGAATTGGATTGAAAATGGAATTGAGAGAGAGTTGAATTGGGGATTTATCTCAAGTAAAAGGGCTGTAAAGAAATGGTTTCTTCAGATTGAGTTTTGGTGTCAACAATGGTGGTAATTAGACATATATGTAGAACCCGTATTAGGATCCGGAAACCCTTTCCCTAATTTCGATAAACCCGACAAACAAAATATTGTTAATCATACGAGAGGGATGACATCTCCACGGTGGCACCGGGCACCCAGAGTTTCTTATTTGATGGCATTCATGGAGGATCTTTATTTGGATCAAGTGGCGCAAGGCTTAATATATGGCTTGTGTAGAATTGAGGAATTGTGGGATTGATTTGTAACCTGTTTTGTCTTTTGTAAACATCTTATTATTGATTGGGCTTTTGTTGTAACAAAGATGTACAATGAGTTGATAACAACCTTGAAGTCACAAATGTTCTTCTTCTTTTTGGAATAATAAAAAAAACATATCATGTTCTTTTTGGAATAAGAACACATCATGGGCTTTATGACTTATTCATGGACTTCTCGTGTTAATTTTTATCTTTTGATATGGGGATACGGGCTTTATTGTAACTGTTTTGAATTTTGACCTCTATGTGTAGTAAAATAAAATTCTCTCATTTAAGATGCACACTTATTGGACCCTCATGCCATATGAACGAAATTTTGAATCAACTCCAATCTTGAAATTTTAACACGTGATAAGCCGAAACCCTCATCATGAACTTCTTGTGCATGCCTTAAAATAAACTCGTATCGTATAGCTTAAACCATGGCTTAACCATCCGACCATATCTTGATTATCTAACCAGAATGACATGGCCTAACCTGACTGATAATCAACACTTGACTTTCCATGATCCCCTTGACTTTCTTGATAAAATTCCATCCATTGGACATATTGAGCTTAAGAATCATGATCTTGACCAATTGAAAACTCCTCTGATGGCCCCTTGACTATGTTTTTGCTTGAACTTGAAGTCAATAACGGACTCTCCACAAATAAACATTTGATCCCCTGTAAATGATCATGATATGCAAATGCTAAGGCTATGATGCAAATGAAACATAAGCCAAAGATTAAGAAAAGAGGTTGGTCAAATTTTGGGGTGCAACAAAGGTATTCTGAGAATATGCTGCCTTTGACAGATTTTTGGGCGACATACTGAATATCATACTCTGACAAGAGCATATGCCATCTGGCAAGTCTTCCATTTTGAGTCGGCTTTTCGAATATGTACTTTATCGAGTCCATCTTAGAGATTAACAAAGTAGTGTGGCAAATCATATATTGTCTCAGACGTTTGGCTGCCCAAGCTAGAGCACAACAAGCCTTTTCTAGAGGTGAGTAACGACTCTCACAATCAGTGAACTTCTTGCTCAGGTAGTATATTGTATGTTCCTTCTTTCCTAATTCATTAGTCTGGACCAGGACACAACCCATTGAATCTTCCAATATTGTCATATACATGAAGAGTGGTCTTCTAAATACAGGAGGGATCAATATAGGAGGCTCTTGGAGATATTCCTTGATATTTTCTAATGCTGACTGGCAGTTCTCATTCCATACAACCGCCTGATTTTTTTGTAACAACTTAAAGATTGGCGTGCAGGTAGAAGTTAAGTTGGAGATGAATCTGGAGGTGTAGTTCAATCGTCCGAGGAAACCTCTGATTTTTTTTCTCTGTTTGAGGAGCTGGCATGTCTTGAATAGCTCTGACTTTGTCGGGATCCACTTCGATTCCTCGTTGACTAACAATAAACCCAAGTAATTTTCCAGAACAAACTCCAAACGTACATTTAGCTGGATTTAGTCTCAATTGATATTTTCAGATCCTTTCAAACAATTTTAGTAGATGATCCAAGTGATCTTTTTCATCCCGAGACTTGGCGATCATGTCGTCCACGTATACCTCGATCTCATGATACATCATATCATGGAAGAGTGCAACCATGGCTCGTTGATATGTGGCTCCTGCATTCTTCAATCCGAAAGGCATGACCTTATAAAAATAAGTGCCCCACGGTGTTATGAACATTGTTTTCTCCATATCGTATGGGTCCATCCTAATTTGATTGTAGCCCGAGAATCCATCCATAAAGAAAAACATTGCAAAGCTAGCTATATTATCAACTAGTGTGTCAATGTGAGGTAGTGGAAAATCATCCTTTGAACCGACTTTATTTAGATCCCGATAATCCACACACATTCTGACTTTTCCATCTTTCTTCGGCACTAGCACAATGTTAGCTATCCACTCAGGGTACTTTGAAACTACCAGAAATCTTGCGTCAATCTGTTTCTTCACTTCATCCCGGATATTTAGAGCCATGTTGGTCTTGATCTTCGGAGTTTTTGCTTAATAGAAGGATACTCTGCTTTCAGGGGGAGCTTATGGACTACGATATCAGTATCTAGTTCTGGCATGTCCTGATATGACCAAGCGAAAACATCGGCATATTCCTTGAGAAGTAGTATCAACTTATCCTTGATTACCGGTTTGAGTAACGCCCTAATTTTACTTCTTTCTTCATTTATTCAGAACCTAAGTTGAAGAATTCTATCGGCTCTTTGTATGGTTGAAGGTAGGCTTCTTCATGCTCAGCCATCCTGGTTAATTCTTCGGGAACCTCAAACTCTTCGTCAGACTTCTCTTTAGCTTGCAAAACAAATAAACCATTACCGGAAGGGACCGAATAATCATTGGATTTTGTAGGTTATAGAGGCTTTCTGCATGGTTTTTACAGGGTTTAACACGATCAGACACACACAACAAACATGCAGATGGTGGGTTAAAAATTAAAAAATTTCAAAAAGTTGCCATTTTTTCCTTTTTACAAAAAGTGAAAATAATGAGGAGAAATAAAAACGAGAGTTTTAACAAAAACACTTCTTCATTCATTAATCTTTTAAATCATAAAGTGATCCATACAAAATGATTCGTTGGCCTTGGGAAAGACCAAGAATTTTTTTAAAAAGAAAACAAAAGCTAACAAGCAATGCATTACTCTAAAGGTAGTATGACAGGAATTTCTACTGTCTCCCAATTGCGCAAGGCTGCCACATATTTTATCACCAGGTTGTCGAGGTTGCTCTCTTCATTTTCGTCAATGATGGCATTTACTTGTACCCCGCCACTTACAAGTATTTCCTTCAAAGTCTTCCGCTTCTGGATGCTTTCTTCATATGTTTCTTCTAGAGTTGGTTTGTAACCCAACCCTTGCCTATCATTCTTTGCATGAGCGTTCACTTTTATAACCTCTCCCCATCCCGATGGGAGTCCTTCTTTCATTGTAGCTTTTATGCTTCGCGCAGAAGCAAAAGACAGACCACGGACCACGACAGAATTATCAATCAACACAACATAAGCAATCTCCAAGGCTTGGAACACTGTTTCGAGCGCATCCTCATCGGCTTTGATATACCTGAAAGAGGATAGGTTGCTTACCATCAAATCTTCTTCCCCGTGTATTATGACCAAGTGATCATTAGTGACAAACTTCATCTTCTGGTGTAATATAGATGTAACAGCGCCCGCTGCATGTATCCACGGTCTTCCCAACAGACAACTATATGAAAGATTTATGTCCATTACTTGGAAGGTGATTTCAAAGACTTGGGGTCCCACCATGATCGGTAAATCAACCTCTCCTATTACGGTTCTCCTCGATCCATCGAAAGCCTTCACAATTAAAGAGGTGAGTCTCATCTCAACTCCTTTGTATGCCAACTTTGCTAATGTTCTTTTGGGCATTACATTGAATGCCGATCCAGTTTCGAAAAGTTCTCTGGCGAGCGTATCTTCTTCACACTTAATATATATGTGTAAAGCGCAGTTATGCTTGAGACCTTTAGCAGTCAAGTCACTGTCGTCGAAGCTCAGCATATTGCAGGCTGTGATATTTGCGACTACAGAGTCAAACTGCCCCACGGTGATGTCTTTTGTTACATGGGCTTGTGTTAGTATTTTCAACAAAGTTTGTCGATGGGCAGGAGAACTCAGTAGTAACGACATGATCAAGATCTTGGATGGTATCTGATTGAGTTGGTCCACTACTCGGTAATTTCTTTGGCGAATTATCCTGAAAGACTCCTCTTCATCATCCTTGGGAATCTCTTTTCCTTTAATAGTGGGTTCTTTGGAGATTACTTTCTTTGGAGCAGCCTCCTTAGGAATAGTAACAACAACTTTGGGAGCAGCGGCAACTGCTTGAAGGACAACACGATTCATCCTGGGCTGATATATTCGACCACTGCGGGTCATTTTGCTTGCCCCGATAATGTTTGTTACATCCTATTGTTTTCTTCTGGAGTTTATGTCGTACCAGGAATAGTCGTGCTTCCATGATATGGCTCTTGGATGAGGACCTGGCCCTCTCCTTGGGTTGAACCTTGGTTGATCTTTTCCGAATTTGGGTACGGGGTCATTGCGGAACACTGGTTTGACGGTGTTGGGTCGATTCATTTTGTCATTGTTGGCTTTGAACATCGCTCTTTTATTATACTCTTCTTGTATATTGAATCTAGTTCAATAACTACCACATCTTATTTCCTCTTCTTATTACTGACTTGTAGCATTCCTACATTGATTAGTGATTTAATATCTTTTCGCACAAGGTCACAACCTTGTGGGTTCTGGTTGCATTCTTCACAATTTTCATGGGTATTTTTGAGCAACCACGCCTGAGCCAATCTTTTGTGTAACTCCACCAACGGTGTCTTAACTTCGGCTACTGTAGTGACCGTCTTCATTTTAGAGTCTTTACCTTCTTTGGTTATAGCATTTACTCCACCATGGTTTGGCAGAGGATTATCTTTTACATTGGGGTGATTGTCTTCGAATGATAGTATATTCCTTTCAATCAAATCCCTGACAATGTG